TCCGTTCAGATACATTGAAATTGATAGTTTCATTATTATTATTATTATTTTATTATTATTATTATTATTATTATTATTATTATTATTGCTATTATTATTATTATTATCATCATCATAATTAATGTCGTTGTTTATATTGCTGTTGTTGTTGTCATCGTCATCATTATAGGCTGCTATCACAATAATAATAATTAAATAATAATAATAATAATAATAATAATAATAATAATAATAATAATAATAATAATAATAATAATAATAATAATGATAATGATAATAATAATAACCATCATAATCATCGTCGTCGTCGTCATAATTATCGTCATCATCGTCGTCATCTCAAGGAACATTTCATAATACCTCACAACTGTTAGCACTAATCTTGCCCCAGGCACGCTTCACTGATGATGACGATGACGATGAGGATGAGATGACGACGATGAGGATGACGATGATGATGATGATGATAATGATGATGACAATGACGATGTTTGATAATGATGAGGACGATATTCGGGAGAGATTAAGTCCAACAATTAATGGATTTGTTAAAATTAAATGTGACGTCACTGTATGATGATGATGACGTCAGAGCGGTGTGGTGAGTCGTTAATAGGACCCATTCATTTGACAATGACGACGACGATGATGATGATGATCATCATCATCATCAACATCATCATCATCAACATCATCATCATCAACAACAACAGCATCCTCATCAATATCATCATAGTCAACATTATCAATATCATCATCAACATCAACATCATCATCAATATCACCATCATTATCAACAACAACAAACTACAACAACATCATCATCGTCGTCGTTGTCAACATCATCATCGTCATCATTAATGACAACAATTTCTTATATAATGAGACGACAGACATAAGGCGAGCTTGGATTAATACGATGTATAAGGAGATATACTAGGATATTAGGAAGTCATTTTATGTTTGTTTGTATGTTTGTTTGTATGTATGTATGTGTATATCTGTTTGTATGTATGTTTGTTTGTATGTATGTATGTGTATATTTGTTTGTATGTATGTTTGTTTGTATGTATGTATGTGTATATTTGTTTGTATGTATGTATGTGTATATTTGTTTGTATGTATGTTTGTTTGTATGTATGTATGTGTATATTTGTTTGTATGTATGTATGTGTATATTTGTTTGTATGTATGTTTGTATGTATGTGTATATCTGTTTGTATGTATGTTTGTTTGTATGTATGTTTGTTTGTATGTATGTATATATCTGTTTGTATGTATGTTTGTCTGTTTGTATATATAAACTTTCTACTCTCTCGCTCTCTCTTTCTCTCTTTCTCTCTCTCTCTCTCTCTCTCTCTCTCTCTCTCTCTCTCTCTCTCTCTCTCTCTTTCTCCAATTATCAAAATAGTGATACAATCAATTTTCAATTGTAAATACTGTAAATTTCAATTCATGTCGGGTTTTCAAGATATAATAATATACATGCATAATATATTTAAGTAAAAAATACAACAAAGACAACAACAACAATAATAATAACAGTAACAATAATAATAATAACAATAATAATAACAACAATAATAATAATAATAATAATAAAATGGTCGTCGTAGTATAACTTCTTTTAATTACTCCGATTTAAATGCCGGAATGTCTCATTGTTTAAATCTACGTTTGTTAGTGTGAGTGTGTTTGCTTGTGTGTGTGTTTGTGTGTGTGGTGTAGCCGAGCTCGCACACACGCCGTTACACACACACAAACACATTCATGTAAACAAACTAACACACACACACATACAAACAAACAAACATACCAGTGTATAATAAATTTATGTTTCTAAATGTCAACTTGCTTACGGTTAATAGGTTACTTAGCTTGCATTAGCATCTATTGTAGTAATAATATTATTAACAATAATTATTATTACTATTAATTATTTTTATTATTGAATTCTTCACTGACATATCAGATGTGTAATTTATGCTAGGAGATGCCTCTGGCAACGCCTCTGACATTATTATAACCAATCGCATTCCTTGATTAATTATATTTAATTATTATTATAATTTCATCATCATAATCGTTAATAATAATAACGATGTAGTCATTATTATTTCTATTATCAACGCTCTAACTACATAACAACAACAACAAAACAAAGAACAAGAAGGACAACTGCAGCAAAGAATAAAAAGAATGGAACGCTTAAAATAAAATGGAAACGTAGGCAACATTAAATCAGTCAATTTCATCGTCATCCTTGTTACTATTATTATTATTCTATTATTAATATTTTATTATTATCAATAAAATTATTATTATTGTCATTTTTAATTCAAGGAAATTTAATACATAAACACAGCACAACCACACATAAGATGACATACACACATATACACAACATATCATGACATACACACATATACATATCACACACATACACACACTTTGTCACACAAAAACACACACGCTCACACAGACGCTCACACACACACACACACACACACGCTCACACACGATGACATAAAAAGCGCCACACACATGTGTAAAAAGGTCAGTCATGATATTTAAACAAATCGCTGTTGTAGCACATTAATGTATCTACTGAGTATCATTCTTTGTATTCAGGTATTCTTGCTTGAATCTTTGTATCATTCTTTGTATTATTGCATGTTTGTATTGTTTTCTGCTCGTATCAAACAATCCTTTGTAATGTTGTATTGGTGTATTTTCGTAATGTAGCATGATGTTGTTTAAAACATAGGTAGGGTAGTTACGTCTCTTTACATCTTTGTATCTTGGTATCATTGTATCTTGGTATTTTTGTATCTTTGTATCTTGGTACCTTTGTATCTTGGTATCTTTGTATCTTTGTATCATTTTATCTTGGCATCTTTGTATCTTGGTATTTTTGTATCGTTGTATCTTGGTATTTTTGTATCTTTGTATCGTGGTATCCATGTATCAGTTTATTAAACTTTTATTGTGTCGAATTATAATTGATTTTATTTATTACTGTCACTGCCGGTCTATTTGTTTATTTTCATTTCATTTTAGTATAGCTCCTACCGAAAAACACGTGTGTGCTATCAATCACGGAAGAATTATTTGTAATGTGGGCTCTATGTGCGTGCACATAAATAGATACTCACGAAGAGAGAGAAATTGAGAAAGAGAGAGAAAGATGGAAAAAAAGAGAGAGAGAGAAAGAGAAAGGGAGGGACAGAAAAAAGAGAGAGATACTTAGTTCTAAGTTTAAAATATGTAAGAATAATAACGAATGAGTTGACTGCAAAATCATACTGAAACATATACACACACATACAACCCACACGCATACAAACATATACACACATACAAACACATGCACATACAAACACACACATACAAAGGCACACATACACACACATACAAAAACACGCAAGCACAAATATATACATACAAACACACACACATACAAAACATACACACACACCACACACACGCACGCATACATACAATTCAACAGTGCGTGACAGTACGCAGTGAATCACATACAACACTCTCTTGGATGGGTGTCATAAAAACAACAACAACAACATATCAAACACATTAAAAATAATTTATATAAGTCTGATTAAATAGAATTTAAATTTTACGAAACTATATGTGTATTAGTGTGTGTGTGCGTGCGTGTGTGTGTGTGCGTGTGGGTGTGTTTAATGTGTCTGTGTTAATTTCGTTACAATGTTTTCAACGCTCTCAGTTAAGAACGCATTAGCGAAAGAGCAGGAGAGTGAGTGAATGAATGAATTGAACGAATGAATGAATGAACGAACGAACGAACGAATGAACGAACTAATGAACTAATGAATGAAAAAATAGATGAATGCACACATGTATACACAAAAGAATGAATGGAAAAGCAAATGAAAGAATGAATGAAGGTATAAAAGAGCGGTGAAAAAAAATTTTTTTCAATGAAAGAATTACCATGTTGTTCAACAACAGCTGAAAGTAAACAAACAACATAAACAACTTAACGTATTTATGTTTATACATAATTTAACTTTTATGTATGTATGTGTGTATGCGTATGATGTATTCATTTGCCTTAGTAATATTGTTTCATCATCATCACCGCCATCATCATCATCATCATCATCATCATTAAAATCATTATCAACAACAACAACATTCCGAAAACGACCGACAACTGTTTGGCATATTTCAAAATAAAATCCACAACAACAACAGCAACAACAACTACTACAACAACACAAGCAAATATATAACGACGAAATGATAATGTCATAGCAAAATATGTTATAATTAACATTAACGATGTTGGCTGCTTTTTAACACAGACACATTAAACACACTCACACGCACACACACACACACTTTTATCAGTTTATCATTTCATCATCATCGTCGTCGTCCTCTTGGTTAAACGTTCACTTCATCAGCTTCGTCATCCTCATCTATAGCATCATCATCAGCAGTAGCAGCTACTACTACTACTACTACTACTACTACTACTACTACTACTACTACTACTACTACTACTACTACTACTACTACTACTACAACTACTACTACTATTACTACTACTCCAACTACAACTAACTACTAT